GATCTAAGATAATGAATCATGGAGAAAATGAATCGATCAATCGAAATCGACCCTTAAGAATGTATCGCTAAGTAAAAATAGAGCTTTCTCAGTGATGAATTACATTATGGCTATACAAAAACAACATTAACATCTATCAGTTAAAGATTTTTCGTACGAGATACGGATTCTTGCTTCACATCACATTTCATATACGACTGAAGCTCCAAAAAACCATACAGTTTCAGTTCTAAATTTACGGTTCACCAACACCGTTTTATAGGAAAAAACAACCTGATTGTTATAACAACACGTTCCCTAATTCTAAAATTCAATCACAGATAATTATACTTATCAGCATCACCCCCAATTTGATACACTAAGCTATAAAATTCCTTTGCTTCTTTTAAAGAGAAAGTAGGAGAACGCAATTTTCCTAGCTACAACTGATTCTCCCCATTTTATACCAGCACACTTTCTTACATGCGACGCCTACGCCTATATACAAAGGCAAAAGCAGTTAAGAAGCGAAAGACTCCGATAATTATTCGGACAAACACGATTAATGAGAATAAAAGAAGGATTCTTTCGTACATGAAGCGATGAATGACGTAACGCAACACAACATTTCGCATACCCCAAGAACACGACACCAAAATACTTTACCCGCTACGAGACACAAACCGTACCTGTGCATATCACATCCGACGCTGATCCCGTGTTGGTATAACCACGTACACAGGTGCATTTCACTACATTTGTCTTAGCATCATGCGAGCAAACAGCGTTCGGGTGACAATCTCCATTGTTGACACTGCAACTTTCTGCAAATAAAGAAACGACGAAAAGTCATTCAAATCCAATCAGAAAACCTAATACCTCTGCAGTCAACCTTCACAGGGCTACCAATGTTGGTATAACCAGCTTTACAGGTGCATATTATTGCATTTGTCCTACCATCATGTGAACAATCTGTGTTTCCAACACAACCTCCATTTTTGATAGTGCAAATATCTGAAAGATACAAATCACGAGGAAATGCTTCTAATCTAATCCCAAATCATTATACCTGTGCAGACAACCTTGGCACCGCTACCAGTGTTGGTATAACCAGCTTTACACGTGCACGCTACTGCATTTGTCTTAGCAACATGCGAGCAAACAGCGTTTGGACCACAACCTCCATTATTGATCTTGCAACTATCTTCAAAATATATATCACGACGAAATGGTTCAAATTCTATTCAAAAACCGTGATACCTTTGCAGACAACCTTGGCCGCGCTACAAGTGTTGACAAAACCAACTTTACAGGTGCATCTTACTCCATTTGTCCTAGGATCACGCGAGCAAATGGCGTTCGGATCATCATCTCTATTGTTGAGAATGCACCTGTCTAGAAGCAGAGAAATGTTGAGGAAAGGTTTCCACTTTAACAAGAAATAATCATACCTGTGCAGACAACCTTGGCTCTGCTACCAGTGTTGGTGTAGCCAGCTTCGCAGGTGCATCTTATTGCATTAGTCGCAGCATCGTGTGAGCAAGCAGCATTTGCATCACAATCTCCATTGTTGACAGTGCAACTATCTGAAGCACAGAGACGACGAAAGAATGTTTCTACCGTACTCGAAATGATCGTACCTCGACAGTGAACGCTATGGTCACTACCAATGTTGGTATAACCAGTTCTACAGGAGCATTCAACCGCATTTGTCGTAGGATCGTGTGAGCAAGCGGCGTTTCGATCACAATCTCCTTTGTTGACAGTGCAACTGTCTGCAACGGTAAAAACGCTGATGGAATGTTTCTGATTTCATCCGAAATCGTCATACCTGCGCAGACAACATTGGATGCCGTACCTGTGTTCGTGTAACCCGTTTTACAAACACATTCTACTGCATTTGTCATAGCATGGTGTGAGCAAGCGAGATTTGAATCACATCCTCCATTGTTGAGAGTGCAACTATCTGCAAAGGTAGAAACGCTGATGGAATCTTTCTGGTTTCATCTGAAATCGTCATACCTATGCAAACAACATTTGATGCGCTACCTGTGTTGGTGTACCCAGTTTTACACTTGCATACTACTCCATTTGTCTTCGCATCATGTGAGCAAGCGGCGTTTTCATCGCAATCTCCATTCCTGACAGTGCAGGTGTCTGAAAAGATACAAATGCCGAGCAATGTTTCGATCTTGGTCAAAATAATCGTACCTGTGCAGACAAGGTTGGAACCGCTACCTGTGTTGGTATAACCGGTTTTACAGATGCATTTTACCGCATTTGTCGTAGCATCATGTGAGCAGCGTAAATCCTCATCACAATCTCCATTATCGATTGTGCAACTGTCTGAAAAGAAAAAAATGACGAGGAAATGTATAAATTTATCAGAAATCACCATACCTCTACAAACAACCTGTGTGCCACTACCAGTGTTGGTATAACCAACTTTGCAGGTGCATTCTACTGCATTTGTCGCACCCCGATGTGTGCAACGGGCGTTTGTATCACAACCTCCATTTTTGATATTGCAAATATCTAGAAAATAGATATCAACACAAAATGGTTCTAATTCTACCCAAACACATGCTACCTTTGCAGGCAACCTTCACCGCGCTACAGGTGTTGACAAAACCAGGTTTACAGGTGCATTTCACCCCATTGGTCCCAGGATCACGCGAGCAAATGGCGTTCGGATCCTGACGTTCATTGTTGAGAGTGCACCGGTCTAGAGTCAAAGGAATGTTGACGACCCATTTCCTCTTTAACCAGGAAAAAGTATACCTCGACAGACAACATTGTGATCGCTACCAGTGTTAATATATCCAGTTTTACACGTGCAGTCTACTGCATATGTCGCAGGATCGTGTGAGCAAGCAGCCTTCGGATCACAACCTCCATTGTTGACAGTGCAACTATCTGCAACGGTAAAAACGCTCGTGAAATGTTTCTGGTTTCATCAGATATCATCATACCTGCGCAGACAACATTGGATGCGCTACCTGTGTTGGTGTAACCAGTTTTACAGGTGCATACTATTGCATTTGTCTTGGCATTATGTGAGCAAGCGGCGTTTCGATCACAACGTCCATTCCTCACAGTGCAACTATCTGAAAGTTAGGGATAAGGAGGGAATGTTTTTGATTCCATCAGAAATCCTCATACCTGTGCAGACAACGTTCGATCCACTACCTGTGTTAGTGTAACCGATTTCACATGTGCACACCGCTGCATTTGTCCTAGGATCATGTAAGCAACGTAAATTTTCAGCACAACCTCCATTTTGGATTGTGCAACTATCTGGAAAGAAAAAATGACAAGCAAATGGATGAATTTATCCGAAATCACCATACCTTTGCACACAACCTTTGTGCCACTACCAGTGTTGGTGTAACCAGCTTTACAGGTGCATTCTACTTCATTTGTCGCATCACCATGAGTGCAATCGGCGTTTGGATCACAATCTCCATTTTTGATATTGCAAATATCTAGAAAATAGATATTAACACAAAATGGGTCTAATTCTATCCAAACCCATGCTACCTTTGCAGACAACCTTCGCCGCGCTACATGTGTTGACAAAACCAGGTTTACAGGTGCATTTCACCCCATTGGTCCCAGGATCACGCGAGCAAATGGCGTTCGGATCCTGACGTTGATTGTTGAGAGTGCACCGGTCTAGAGTCAAAGGAATGTTGACGACCCATTTCCTCTTTAACCAGGAATAACCATACCTGTGCAGACAACCATGTCGTTGCTACCAGTGTTGGTATAGCCAGGGTGACAGGTGCACTTTGCTGCAATTCTCGTGGGGTCTCGTGAGCAAGCGGCGTTAGGGTCACAACCTCCATTGTTCACTGCGCACACATCTGGAAAGGTGGAAAAGCGGAGGAAATGTGTCCGATTGTGCCAAAAAAGAGCATACCTCGACAGACAACATTGTGCACGCTACCAGTGTTGATATATCCAATTTTACACGTGCATTCTACTGCATATGTCGTAGGATCGTGTGAACAAGCAGCCTTCGGATCACAACCTCCATTGTTGACCGTGCAACTATCTGCAACGGTAATAACGCTGATGGAATGTTTCTGGTTTCATCTCAAATCGTCATACCTGTGCAGACTACCTTGGATTCGCTACCTGTGTCGGAGTAACCAGCTTTACAGGTGCATTCTACTGCATTTGTCTTAGCATCATGTGAGCAAGCAGCGTTTGGATCACAAGCTCCATTGCTGACTGTGCAGCTATCTGAAATATAGGGATAAGGAGGGAATCTTCTTGATTCCATCAAAAATCGTCATACCTGTGCAGACAAGGTTCGATCCACTACCTGTGTTGGTATAACCGGTTTTACAGGTGCATACTACAGCATTGGTCTTAGCATCATGCGAGCAAGCGGCGTTTGCATCACAACCTCCGTTTTGGATATTGCAACTATCTTGAAAATAGATATCACGACGAAATGGTTGAAATTTCATCCAAAACAGTTCTACCTTTGCAGACAACCTTGACCGCGGTACAAGTGTTGACAAATCCAGGTTTACACGTGCAGTTTACACCATTTGTTGTAGGATCATTTGAGCAAACGGCGTTCGCATCGTCATCTCCATTGTTGACAATGCACCTGTCTGAAACCAGAGAAATGTTTCGGAGATGTTTCCAATTTCAGCCGAAACCATCATACCTGTGCAGACAACATTTGATGCGCTACCCGTGTTGGTGTAGCCAGGTTGACAGGTGCATTTTATTGCATTTGTTGCAGAGTCGTGCGAACAAGCCGCGCTTGGATCACAGCCTCCATTGTTGACAGTGCAGCTATCTGCAACGGTAAAAACGCTAGTGGAATGTTTCTGGCTTCATCTGAAATCGCCATACCTGTGCAGACAACGTTGGATCTGCTGCCTGTGTTGGTATAACCGGTTTTACAGGTGCATACTACTGCATATGTGGCAGCGTCGTGCGAGCAAGCTGCACTTGGATCACAGCCTCCATTGTTGGCCGTGCAACTATCTGCAAAGGTAGAAACGCTGACGGAATATATCCGGTTTCATCTGATATCGTCATACCTGTACAGACAACATTGGGTGCGCTACCCGTGTTGGTGTAACCTGTTTTACACGTGCATGCTACTGCATATGTCTTAGCATCATGTGAGCAAACGGCATTTCGATCACAACCTCCATTGATGACTCTGCAACTATCTGAAATAAAGGAATAAGGAGGAAATGTTTTTGATCCGATAAGAAATAATCATACCTGTGCAAACAACCGTGGATCCGCTACCTGTGTTAGTATAACCAGTTTTACAGGTGCACACCACTGCATTTGTCCTAGGATCATGTGAGCAAACTAAATATTCAGCACAACCTCCATTTTTGATTGTGCAACTATCTGAAAAGAGAAAAATGACGAGGAAATGTATGAATCTCTCCGAAATAACCATACCTGTGCACACAACTTTTACGGCACTACCAGTGTTGCTATAACCAGCTTTACAGGTGCATTCTACTCCATTTGTCGCACCCGAACGTGTGCAACGGGCGTTTAAATCACAACCACCATTTTCGATATTACAAATATCTAGAAAACAGTTATCAACAAGAAATGGTTCTAATTCTCTGCAATGCCATAATACCTTTGCAGACAACCTTGACGTCGCTACAAGTGTTGACAAAACCAGCTTTACAGGTGCATTTCATCCCACCGGTCTTAGGATCACGCGAGCAAATGGCGTTCGGATCCTGACGTTCATTGTTGAGAGTGCACCGGTCTAGATTCAGAGAAATGTTGACGACCCATTTCCTATTTAACCAGGATTAACCATACCTGTGCAGATAACCATGGCGTCGCTACCAGTGTTGGTATAGCCAGGGTGACAGGTGCACTTTACGGCGTTTGTCGTGGGTAGATGTGCGCAAGCGGCGTTTGGATCACAACCCCCATTGTTTACTGCGCACCTATCTAGAAAGGTGAGAAAGCCGAATAAATATGTCAGATTCCGCCAAAAAAAAGTATACCTCGACAGACAACATTGCGCACGCTACCAATGTTGATATATCCAGTTTTACACCTGCATTCTACTGCATATGTCGTAGGATCGTGTGAGCAAGCAGCCCTTGGTTCACAACCTCCATTGTTGATAGTGCAACTATCTGAAAGATAGCGATAAGCAGGGAATCCTTTGGATTCCATCAGAAATCAACATACCTGTGCACGCAACGTTCGTTGCAGTACCTGTGTTAGTGTAACCAGTTTTACAGGCGCATTCAACTGCATTTGTCTTAGCATCATGTGAGCAAGCAGCGTTTGGATGACAGCCTCCATTGCTGATGGTGCAAATATCTGATATATAGGCAGAGGGACGGAATGTTTTTGATACCATCAGAAATCATCATACCTGCGCATACAACGTTGGATCCACTACCTGTGTTGGTATAACCAGTTTTACAGGTGCATACTACTGCATTTGTCTTAGCATCATGTGAGCAAACGGCGTTTTGATCACAAGCTCCATTACTGACCGTGCAACTGTCTGAAATCAAGTTA